TCTTCCATATGGAGTATATAACATTCAAACTTCCATCAGTGGGAAAGATGAAAACTCAAAAGTTTTTGTAAGATGTACATTAACCACATAAAGCTAAAGCAACAGCCTTCCTGTGCATGACCTAAGTGAATAAGGTACCTTTCAAACAAGTTGAACACATTACCACTTACTAAACCTACTTGGTTTTACTATTTGAAGTAAACAGTGAAATTTAATTCATTCATGTTTGACACACAGAACATCTGTCTCCTTTCTCAGTTATAGTAACACTATTTAAATATATGTGGCACTGAACTTCCTCTGAATTTCTCTGAAGTTGGCAACAATATGGTATAGGCAGTGAATGGAAAAGTGCAATCCTCTCAAACAGAGCTGCTGCATTATGGTGATGGAAGAATGGCAGAGGTGTAATGAGGACTGTTCAGTAATGTTTATGTTCTGTATCATGGCATATAAATTACTTTTGTCATATTGGTTTGGAGCTAAAATCAACATGTATTATATTTTTAGACTATGTTTCAAATAACAAAAATAAAATTCTAAGGGGTTCTGACCCTGGAGTATTACACTCAGGATTACTGAATTTTTGGGCTTTGACCATTGTCCAATGTTACAGAAAAGCACACTGATTTGGATACTAGATGTTTCTATCTGAAAGAAACAGCTCCAGTTTCTGAAAGGTTGAGGAGGCATCTACATTAGGTAGACCTCACCTTAATCACTGGGCCCACATAGTCCTGTCACTGATATCAGCCCAACCCACGGAAGCAACCGAGCAGGTGCCCCCACCCATTCACCTGAAGATGGAAGGAGACAATTTCTGAAACAATGTGATCTTTTAGAATATTAGAGATGCAAGAAGTCTAAGAAAATCAGTAATCTCAAACAAAAATAATGGTTTCACAAAATGTTTCAAGATGATGAATCTGAGTTTAACCACCCTTTTACTTATCTAAGAAAGTAATATAAACCATCTGTAAGTAAAGGCAAACTTTCTGCCTAAAACCAGTATAAAAATATGACACCTATAGGTTGTAACTGAAATTTTGGCTGAAATGCTCATCCTTTTCCATATTTCACAAAATCATGATATACATCTAACACATACTGGTGCACACACAAAGAAAGTTAATCTCTTAGTTTATTTAATGCCATTTTCTCACCTGCACTAGTCATGAAGCAGTGACTGGGAAGGCAACCATGAAAATAAAATTGGGAAAATCACAAAATAGCATATTTTAAGGGTGTAGCTGAAGTGAGGAAAACCACACAACTTATCTCAGCAGCTGACCACTACACTGAGAACCAAACCAAAACTATAAGTGGCCATGAGAATGAGACTCAAACCTGGGACCTAATAATTGTGAAGCTGGTGCGCCAACCATCAACTGTAACAATGAGTGCAAAAGCAAAGACAATGAGAAGTAAAACAAGTTGTTTAAGCTGTGCAGGTTGTACAAAAATTAATGACAGAAAACTGGTTGGTGGTATTTTCTGCGACTTAACAAAGGCCTTTGATAGTGTGAACCATGATACTTTACTTGAGAAAATGGATTTCTATGGTATAAGAGGTATATTTCATAAATTGCTTACCTCATATTTAAGTGATAGATATCAACGAGTAGTAATTACAGATAAACAAGCTATACAATATTTTTCTGAGTGGAAACAGATCAGATTGGGAGTACCACAAGGATCAATTCTTGGGCCATTATTTTTTTTATTATATATAAATGATTTGCCAGCAGCAATAAATAATATGTCAAAACCCATCCTATTTGCAGATGACATTAGTTTAATAGTATCTACTTCAGATCCTAATCAGCTTAAAGAATGTTTTGATTTAGTTGTTGAGAAATTGATGAGATGGTTTCAGGCAAATTCCTGGATATTAAATTTTAATAAAACATACTGTATGTATTTTACAATGATAAGGAAACACTGTAAACTCACCTATAAAGTATTTACATTCTCACATTAATAGTACACAAGTTATGGACTTTCTGGGGGTGTCTTTGGATCCATCCTTATCTTGGCATGGACATATATCTAAAACAATAAAGAAATTAAATTCTGCTTGCTTTGCCATTAGGTCTCTGAAATCGTTACTCTCTATTAATTATCTAAAAATGATATATTTTGCCTATGCTCACTCTATAATTGTATATGGAATTGCCTTTTGGGGAAATGCCACTAACAGCAAGGATGTCTTCATAGCGCAAAAAAGACTTATAAGGAGTATTATGAATGTAAATTCTAGAGCCTCTTGTTGGGGATTTTTTAAATATTTAAACATATTGACTTTTTATTCTCAATATATAATTTCGCTTTTGCTTCTGGTGGTGAAAAATATACATTTGTTTGCACTAAATGCTGAAATACATGTCATAAATACACGACAAAGTACCAGCTTACATGTGCCATTGATAAATTTGGCCAAATATAAGAATAGTGTGTGTGTTGTATGGGTATTATAATATTTAATAATCTGCCACCTAATTTAAGAAAATTATCAAGTGATTTAAAAAAATTTAAGTTAGCTATAAATAATTTTCTCTTAAATCAATCATTTTATTCGATAAATGAATACTTGGAGTGGTCAAAAGAAAGGAAATAGAATACAGGTGAATATTTGTTTTATTTAGATACACTTATGTGTAGTAGTTTTTGTAGACTTTGTATAAATGTACGTATACTTTTATTATCAATTGCTTATAATGTCCATATTTTAGTTATTATTGGTTTATTATACTAAGCATTGACTAAGTTGTATTATTGCAACTGTTTTATTACAGTATATGTTACTATTTGAGACTGCTTTTACAACTGTGGTGATTGTGTCGCCTGTACGTTTTTCTTGAAGCAATAAAGATATTATTATTATTATTATTCATGCCAGGTGTTTCAAAAGTAATCACAAGCTTAGCATTGCTGAATGTTTTCATTCTCAGATGTAAAGGCAGGCTTGAGGAAGGAAGAAGATCCAGTTTTTGAAAAACTGTGCTCTACTTGGAATACCGGATGATTGACTAAATCCAAAAACCAATAATGCTAAGTGTAATACACCATAATCAGATTCCCTTTGAACAAAGAAGAATTCATGACAGTATGGAATGAAATATAAATATAATTTACATATCTAAAACCTGCAACATGTAATCTGAATACAGTCATATGATTTAGTTATTTCCTGTGTTTCTGATGTTTACAGAGGAATAAAGAATGTGGTAACAGTAGTGCCACCTGTAATCTTAATGTGGAATTCAATAGAAGTTATAGCCAACAACCTCAACACGTAGCATGCAAAAACTTATCCAAATTCATCTAATTCAATTACTACTATTGCTAAATTTGAGCTGCACTGTGAGATCTGAGGTCCTCAGAGGATGACTATGACAACACTACCTTGTAATGTGATACCATGTAGTCTGGTAAATGTTTACTGGTCTATACCAGACTACATGACATTACATCTGACAAAACAATTTTGAGCTACAATGCAAATGATATGTTGTTTTTATTACTTACAATGATCCTGTCATGAGTTACTGTTTTCTTTACTGGCAGTTATTTGGAAATTGTTATAACTGCATATTTCTCTAATATCTGACGAGGATAGTTGGAGCACACATCGAAAACATATAACTGCAGAAAATACAAGCACTGAAGAAACATTTCAAGTTGCTTAAGATATTAAACAAACAGAACTATCCAGAATGCTAAGAATTACAACATTGCTCTGAAATTTTTACCAGCCTTGATATCCAGAATCAGCATATAGGTCAATATTGTTTAGAATGAGGGTAGAAAATAAGATTCGTGAAATAAAAATACTTAAGATTATGTCACATGTTTACCGTAATTTTTGGAAGAAATACAATTTGAGATTTAACATTATCACTGGCTAAAGTAACAATTACATACATAAGGTGCCTGGAAGAGAACAATGATATGAATCTGGAATTTTCATTCTCCATTAATTAGTTATAAACAAACAATGAAAGGATACTATATTTTGTGATATTATATATATTGTTGTAAAGCTAATTAATACCACAAATAATTTGCTGTACTCTAATATAAATTCTTTCTCCTTGCAATTCCTTAAATGTGAATACCAAGAAACGTTTTTTCAATGTCCCTTTTGTTATCCCACCTAGGTCCAAATGTCCTACTCAACATTTTGCTTACATATATCTTCTATCTATGCTTTCCTGCGGCATACGAGACAAAGAAAGAAAAACAACAAACAAAAACTCCTTGGTTTTAGTCCACAAGTGAACTATACCGACTGAGCGACCACTGCTTGTCAACGAAGTTAGTACTAACTTTAGCGGATAGAGGGTGTCACGTGGTCAGCGCAACGAATCTCCACAGCCCTTAATCTTGGTTTTCTAGACCGAAATATATCTTCAATTATCCTCACAAGGCTGAGTGGACCCCATTCTAGACCCACTACTCCTCAAAAAATCTGGTAACTCCGGGAATTGAACCCGGACCCCTGGATTTGTAGCCAGGAACTCTGACAAATAGACCACAGTTTCTGAAAAATACAACAAAACCATCAATTTTAATTATTTATTTATATGTATTGTGACATGTTGCGCAACGGAGAACCCCTCCATACCCAGCAGCAACGTGGCAACTCAGGCCACAGTGACGTGGCGGATGAGTCAGCGCTCCCCNGCACGGTAACATAACGCGCAACGCGCGGTGACATAAGACGGCGTGAGGTAACAGCGTGGCCACGTAACAGGCCCACACAGCTCCTATATAAGAGAGCTGCGCTGCCTGCGAGTAGTTAGTTATAACGTAGCAGTCGCCGAGTTGAGTTGTAACGTAGCAGTCGGCGAGTTAGCCAGCAACTAGTCAGTTGCATTCTGGCCTTTGGAGTGTAGTATTTGTGATACTGCAGATAGCAGTAATTGTGAATCTGTAATTTGGGTGACTGTAAGTGCGAATGTGAAATAACATTCACTATATCAAATACGGCATGAAGTTATTTGTCGCGTTATACGCCCAATACGTGACAGTATATTGTTTCATGGAAAGAAAATATGAAGAAAGAAATAATCTGAGTTGAATGAATGACAGCATAACCCGTCTGAATGTCATATCATATTCAAAGGCTTTATTACAAATTGTCATATTGTGGGTTATATTTTCAAAATCATGAATGCAAAAGCTACAATTATTCTGAGACAGACCAATTGTTACAAAGAGATGCAATACATGTTCACTACATGACAGATTAACACACATTACCAATCTCCACTGTGCGACTGTGTTCCACTTAAACTAAAAAGAATAAGCTGCAGTGGGATGATATGTTAACATGTAATACAGATTCACTGCAAGCTTGGATGGCAGTGTCAATATGAACGCCAAAATCTTGGGAGAGATATGATACACACGTGACTTCTTCTGTATCAGTTTACAGCTGAACATTACATTCCCCAGAATGCAGCTAGTGCCATGCCTTCACATCTGTAGCTGCACAGTTAGTTTGCATGTGTAGCACTCTGTACTCCAACACTCCTCAATCAAATAATATAAATTTACATTGCTCTTACTTCATACTTCTGAACCTAATTATCAATATTACAAAAGTTCCCATTCTTTGTATTTAATGTTATCATGGAAAGTGGGCTAGGATAATACTGTTATTAACTTGACTGGCTTATAAAACACAATACAGTGAAACCCCATCCTGCTTGCCAGAAAGCTTCCAGAAACTTAAAAGTTTATTTCAGGAGCAGTGACTCTGAACACTAAACTGAGAAGTCTTAAACAGAGATAATTTAAAATCGAGATTATTGACTTTGGATCACCAAAATTAAATATTAAATGAGGGGAAACATTAAATATGAGTTTCACTGTATCTTAAAAATACTCTGCAACTCTGCAGAATTCATACACAGGCATAAGGTGCAAAATAAAGTATCTTTCTTATCTGTGTTTAACTAAACTACAACAAAGTAATTATAGCAAACATATTACAACAACCTCTGAAAGACAAGGGTATTACTGCATGTGTATGAATCTGAGGAAACTCCACACAGAAGTAGATCTGTGATTTGAATGTGATGTATCTCTTAATGTCCCAGATTTATTGCTTATTTCAGTAGCTACATGATACATCAAAAGAAGCAGTAAATGATTCATTCAAATGCCACTAACATGTGAGATTCGAAGTTCTCAACGCAATGATTATGAAGAATACAGTCTTCTGGCATTAGTTTATTGATATTTCAGAGGATTATGCTGCTCAGTCTCCAGAGTAGAAGAAAAGGCTCAGATTGGAAAAACAACCAGTTTTAAGGCTTCTTCTTACTTTCCCCAGAGGCTCATTCACAGCACCTTTCCCAGTCGATATCCATACTCATCTTACTATTTCACCTGAAGATGGGGGCAACACATCCCTTCAAAATATCAGTAAACATCTATTCAATTAAGAGTTCTGTCTTTTCAGATAACCTGCCATGTAGCCCGGTGAAAGTTAACAGCCAAGAAAGTTGTTTGCTGTCTCCTTCATGCTGGATTCTTATCTGGCTTACTCTTCAGCCCTCAAGATGGAGGTGACATGTTCCTCTGATAAGTCAGTTGACTTTCAAAAGTACTATATGGTGTGATATACTGGAAGACATGTACCTATTCATAACTACCACTGTGAGAACCTCAAATCCTAAATTTATTAAATTATCTGACGTCACAACCCAGGAGAAGTATTTTTAACAGTTACATGATCTAAATAAATCCATCTGGAGCTTCTTACTTAACCCCCTTCAAGTAATATCCACTGTTTCTCATGCATCTAACTAAATGCATAAATGCCATCTCAGATTCATGCAAATAAGCAAGACAGCTTTCATCTGCCTACAACTTTCACAAATAATTCTGAAACATGACAAGGAAAAGAACGATAAAATGTGCCATGACAACATCTGTAACTGTAATGTCTATGATATTATGATGTACTTATGTTATGTACGAGTATGTTACCTATGTCAATTAATTACTCACTAATTTCATTAATACTTGTATTATTGAATCAATGAAAGCAACAGATTTTGGCATAAATCTGGAAGAAAATAAAGTTTTGAAAGCTTATTAGTGACAAACGTGACTCCACAAATTTGTTTTACACCACATAAAAAAATAATTGAAAACAATGCTTTGTGCTGCCATGGGAAAATAAAAAGGAACAAAATACATTAAGTCTCTTAGTACCGTTAATACATAATCAGTATTAATAAACATTAAATACCATTTGTGATATTTACAATATAAGTTACAACCGCAAATAGCCGCCATTTGGCACTAATATCCATTATTCATGACATAACATATTCACTTCCCCCAGTGCACCAAAGATAATGACATACAACTCACATTGACCATTTCTGCACCAAGTAAAATAAAACGATTGCCAATAGCCTTGACAAAGAGATGTCAATCTTCTTACAATAATTATTCACACAAATGACCCCATGTCACAAGCATACACTACAACCTTCTAATCGGACACATGATTTATACACACAAAACCAATCACTCCACTCTTTGTTTATATAAAAAAGAGAATACTTTAATATTCACTGCAACTTGAGAAACACATCTCAATTGTTTCTTTAAATGTGAATGTGAACTCGGGAGTCTCAAGTGCTACTGTTCACAGATTCTGTACCGAGCAAGCCTCGACGAGTCTATTACCACAGATTGATTTACAGTATTTATCTAAACAACTGACTTCCCTTTCATGCACATCATTACAGGGACTGGAATGTGGAATTCACAAAAAGACTAGCAGAATATAAAATTCAACTGAATGATGAAAAAGTTCAGATTTGCTAAGACAGGAAAAATAAAAGGTCACAAACATCTAATTTTGAAAAAAAATATATATATATATTTTTTTAAATTATTATTATGATTAATATCACGAACAGAATAAACTACCACTAAATGCATAACTTTTCTTTAGCTGTAACATCATCCCAGACACAGTTCTCATTTCTTGCATCTGTCATGGTAGGGGGGGGAGGGAGAGAGAGAGAGACATTTCTCCACTTCTGTGCTTCACGCTCCATGTACATACAAACTACTTACTTTACAATGCCATTAATTCTGTAAAATAAGATGAATGACATATCAAATTTCTACTACAGCACAGTATATACAGTGTACAGTAAAATCTGAATAAGTTGAAATTAAGGACTCACCCACATTCCAACATCCCTGCTGGGAAGGGGATGGTAGCACAGGAGGACAGGAAGAGGGGGACAGACAGAGACAGCCATGTTACTTGCGCTTGCTAGCCTTCTCAGCCAACTTCTCTGCCTTCTTCTGCAATCTCTCCTTCTCTTTCCTCTCCTTCTCCTGTTGACGTTTCTCCTTCTCCACTTGAACCTTCAGTTCCTTGAGTTTACGTTTCAGTCTGTTCTTGTCATCACCATTTACACCAAGCTGTTTGAAGTCACGTGACTCGAGCTGTAATAAGGCTGAGCCTCCCACTTGCAGCTCTAAAAATTTTGGGATATGCTGTTCCAGCCCCAAAGCTAACAGCCACTGACAAACCTGTATATAAAAATCGTTACTCAGGAATGTCTCATCTGTTGAACACAATCAGACTTATCATTTCATATTTAGTATACAATTAATGTTGTAGCAAACTAAAACAGACCCATATTATATTTAAGCATCCTGTTGCACTCCATACGATAAATGATATAATGATACAAATTCCGTCCCAAGTGCAAACAGCATATTATGTGTCCTTGATCTTGCTCCTCTACACTACATGTTTCGGCCTAAGACGGCCATCTTCAGGTGTATAACACTCACGTTGCTGTCACACTGCACCCAGCCCCAAATTTAACATTTAAAACACTTTCCTTGTTATTATCAACATCTGCTTCATTTACAGGTAGTAAAGAATAACAGTGGCAAGCACACAGGAAGACTACACAGGATAACACCTATACAGTGTGGAAACAAGAACTAGCCGCTGCAGCACTTTCGACATAGGGCGAGTAACCCTAATAATTTTAAATTTAAAATTTAGAGAAAAATTTTAAAGGATTTTAAAATTAGAACTACAGATTTTATAGTGCTACTACAGGAACGTCAAAATTAACGTGTGTAAAACAATCTACAAACCAGACAGATATCAACGAAGCAGATGTTGATAATAACAAGGAAAGTGTTTTAAATGTTAAATTTTGGGCTGGGTGCAGTGTGACAGCAACGTGAGTGTTATACACCTGATGATGGCTGTCTGAGGCCGAAACATGTAGTGTAGAGGAGCAAGATCAAGGACAAATAATATATTGTTTGCACTTGGGACGGAATTTGTATCATTATATCATTTATAAAACAGAACCATTCCTTTTCTTTCCCTTTGAAATGTGTGATTGATAAACACATCAGTTCTTCTGTGCTTATACCTCCTGTACATCTTACATACTCTCCTTCCATAAACCAATCACTACAATCAGAGATAAAGTAAATAACTTTGCCTTCAGATGACTACCGAGAGATGGAGCAACCTCCAATTACACCATGACCAAAACATTACAATGATGGACATTCTGTCTGAGAACAGCAAAAAAGGAATACCCAAAGTCAGTTATAAAGCTTTTAAGGCTAGAAGAAAAAAGATTTCTGCGAGGTGTCAGTTACTTCATAAACAGCATTCCTATATTTATATAAAATAGATACGTAAGAAAAGTGAAAGAAGTGATTGTACTGATCATTAACAGTGCACTCTCAGATTTAAGTTAAGATATATATTAAGAATTGCGGGGTTACCGCTATTATAGAATAATGTATTTATAAGAATGTGCTACAGAAGGCCGGATGGGCATTGCCTAGGCCTTTTTTGTATTTAGAATAATTCTTTCTACAATAAAAAAAAGACCAAAATATTTCATCACTATGAAATACAAACTCTACAGTACTACACAACTGCAATGACACTACAGAAAAATCAGAAATACCTTGGTAAAAAATTATTAACAATGTATAAAAATAGAAATTACTGCCACTATTTCTGAAAAGGGGAATAAGGATGTTGAAATCATACACTAATATTCTGAGTGATTTAAAACAGGGATGTCCAACCTGTTGGATTTGTGCAGCCTGTCAAGAGTAACCTTCTACCCCCTAAGATGGGTGTTATTGCTTTCCTTCTCTTTAGATAGGTACTGAATGTTGTAAAAAAAAGTTATTGAAGGTGCTTACTATTCTGTGAATTTTATCAGATGATTTCACAACATTTAGGGGGATAAAGTAACTTACAAAAATATAAAATTAATGTGACTCCACAATCATATGCAGCATCAATACACTATGGCAAACCTTTAGCATATTATTTTTAAGTACCATCTACGTGGTAACATAGTGTTTTTGTTTTTTTTTTTTTACTTTGTGGGCCAAGCTGTTATTCATGTGCTTGTCTTCTAAAGATCAGATCACTGAATACCATACATTTGTAATGGTATGCTTGAAAAAGAAACGATTCTTAAGGACACAAGGACTCTCATCAGGTAGGGGAAAAGCAGAAACAATGCAACTAAAATAAAGTTCTTAAAACATAAAACTATAAAAAACAGAAAAAAGGACTTAAAAAACAAATAAATGAGGAACAGATTATTACTTGATAAATCAGTTCTACCATGTGAAAGAAACAAAATAATACAGATTGCCGACCATGAGAACAGAAATGAAATCAAAAGAAAAACACTTCAGAGAAGGCTGATAACATGGTGCATGATGAAATGAGGATGGAAATCAGGGTGGTTGTGGGGGGAGAAGACAGAACTGATGAACTTGATACTATGGGAGGACGAACAAGGAAGGAAACTTCTATCTGAAGATACAACATAAACAAGATAAGAGATAATAAGAATTCTTGAGGTTTTCATGGCGGTGAGTATGGAGAATGCCATCTTCTGGGATGTGGTGCCACGCAGATCTTGTTGAAACTGACATTTCAGAGGAACACATCGCCTTCGTCTTTAGGGTAGCCGCCTGCTCAAACTGGTTCCTTGCTTGCAGATTATTTTACCCTGAAGATGGTGGTGATATGTTTCTCTGAACTGTCGGTTCACACAAGATCTACATGGTGCCACATCTTAGGAGATGGCATTCATCAGATAATAAGAATTTTAACATACCTGTTCTTTTGACCACTCACTGACTGGGGCACTCTGCCAGAAATGTGAGGACTTCTTCTCTGCTGAGAAAGAAGTGTTGAGATCCTGAGGGTGAGGCGGTGCCCATACATCTCCTGAATCTTGTTTACAACAGAACACATTTCAATAATTAGCACCAATATCCATCAGTGTTTTCTCTCCTATATTATTATTATTATCCATAGTGGTTCCATTATTACTGAATTATTCTCTTCAGTTTTTCATGTCAGCCATCTTAGAGACTGCTTACACATTTAGATTCACTATCACAGGCCTGTGAAGTGACATATAAATCTGTTCACTCAAGCACTTCTAAAATTAAATTTAGAATGAATCACACACTGCATGGACATAATAACAGAAGCAAGGCATTAATAAAAACGGTTCATATAAATGCTTATTATAAAAATCTCCTTCTCCTCCTCCATGGCCTTCAGTCTGCAAGCAAATTATACCGACCGAGCGACCACTGCTTGTCGGCGAAGTTAGTGCCAACTTTAGTGCATAGAGGATGTCATGTGATCAGTGCAATGGACCCCACGATTACAGAAATATACCAATGCTAAAATACAGAAGCTTATGAACAAGCTTAAGAAAGTATTAGGTAAATAAGATCACAAACTCTACCTGACTGCAGCAAGAGTGAATGACTTAGATGAAATTAGTTCACTTGATGTTAAATAATTATGGCTCTGAAACACTTTGGCTTGGTTGTGCATAACTGAGCAGTATCTCCTTCTTATGCATTAACATTGCTTCATATTCTGTGTTATTTTAAACTGAATGCCACATCTGCTGATATTTCTTTAAGCTCATGAAATATCTTCAGACAATCTTCTGAAAGGAACCGGAGTAAACAAAGAGCAAATTGTTGGATCTGAGATTCTCACAACGATGACTGTGAAGAGTACCATCTTCTGGGATGTGATGTATTGCAGTTTTGTAGAAGTAAGCAGGAAGCAGAGCTCAGATTGCTGTCCATTTCATGCCAGTGGATTATTAGGCTTTTCTTTTGGCCTTGAAGATGGAGGTAGAATGTTCACCCAAAACGTTGGCAAATTTTTACTGGACTGTATGGCAACACACCCCAGAAGACAGATCATTTCAAAAAGGAAAACAAACATGAGTTCCTCCAAAAATGGGGAACATGACACTGAAGTTCCCCCAGCAAAAAGTAAAATGGAAATAGATTAGGGAAGACCAGTTAAGAAACCTTGCAGGTTCCCTGCAAGCAGAACCCAAAATGTTTATGACAAAAATATGTCATTTAGATCTCTGCAAAAGCAAGAAGTAAATATGCAATTAATGCTAACCAGTAACCATACACTAACATCAACATTGCTTAGAAATTACAGTTACCTTGGTGACACAGGAAGCAACCGGCACAGTCGAGGCCTATGCACTGTAATAATTTTGTACAGTACAATAATATAAAATTACCGGCAATTTCTATGTCACACATCCTAATGAGTGCAGCGTTCTAAACTAAATAAATGTGTTAAGCCTTCTTGGGGGGGGGGGAACCTTGTAAGAATTTTTTGTACACTTACAATTCATTAAAAAAAAAGTAAAGCTATCCCTGTAACAGGCCATGAAGGCCCAAAGGGTTGGGAGAC